GGCGAGTGACTGGCTACTGTAAACTGCCAGGCTCGACCCAGAGAACTTGCCCATGATACCAAATCAGCATCGAGGCGGAGAGCTTGTCGAATCAACGGTGCGATGTTTCCACGAAAGCCATCATTCTTGTATGCCTCCTTTATCCTAATCGAGAGATCATTGAACATAATTAGAATATTGTAGAAATCATCAAATACTTGAGAATTAGTATCAAAGAGGGTTCTTGCATGATTTGATAACGCAGTTATTGTTGGTGAGCTATAACAATTCGTCCTGAAGAATATGTTCATCATAGCCTGAAAATAACCTGTTAGCACCCAGACAGATATCAGCGTTCAAAACGAGGAATAGCTCACAATTTGTAACCGGGCACTGTTGAACAACCCTAGCCCAGTTGGTGAGTCGAATTGCTGCACGCCTCGTAACTCAAGGAGCTTTATCGCTCCTTGGGCATGATTGAGCCAAGCGTCCATCATTTGCGATTTATGCCCTGAGATAATCTGTTTTCCCACGGGTTAAAAAGCAGCCCCCAAATCAACACTCTACTTAGACACATTACCTCGTACAAACTCAGCGTTACCACGGCCCCCAAAGTGGAGTCGGACGTAGCCGAGACTGCGTCCTGCAGATTCGTATTGGTGGCCCGCAAGGCTTTGCTGTATTCCTCTGCCGCCAATCGCCTCAGCTCAGGTAAATGGTGAATTCTCGACATACATGCCAGCCCTACAGCTTTTACTGTGGCTTGAAGTGCACCGGAGGGGTCGGTGTTCAACAGATTCGTCAAGTAGGGGAGTACGCCCCGATTCTGGCTCGTGCCGACATAATACTTGAAGATATGGGACATAGCCTGCTCCTGGATGGGGGTAGACAAATAAATTAACGGCGGCGTCTTCGAACTCTCTGCAGTAGGGGGCTGGGCCGCCTTTCGGGTAGCGGCAGCCCGGGCCAGGGCTTTGGCAGTAACGGCTGTCGTCTGATCATAGATACGAAGGGCTCGGGGATCTTGGTACCCCGGGCATTCTTTCTTCATCCGCGAGCATTGGGAGCATGAAGGCTGCCTCCGGTCGCACTATCATTGGTCAATTAGTGATGGTTCAACATGGTATGGGAGTGTCGACGTACTTTTAGCCGCCGCTTCCGGCATAGGGCACACCCTGGGCTGGGCTTTCCTCTGTATACCATGGTAGTAGCCTAAAGGGGTAAGGAGTTCGGAAGGCGAAGTTACAGGGTGGGATCTTCTCGCTTAAGATACGTTGGGGTCAGTGAAGTGATCTGTGGGGGCTGTTGTCGGGGTCGGAGCTTCCTACGAAAAGGAGACTAGTAGCAGAGCATCTCCCAGTTCCATTTCAGCCCCGGCTCAGCTGCGGGAATGTGCACTGAGATCCACAGGAGGACAGGGCAGTGTTTACTTGGTGCGTGGGGCTGATAATCACATCTACTTATTCCACTAAATCTTCGCGCTTATCCTAGTACAGCAACCAGATCGGTGCTTAGGGCTTACTTGGGGCCTTAGAGCTGTTTAAGCCTCGAGGATTGCGTAAGTTATATTAACGTTGGGCCCAAAGAAGCATTTGTTGCCCACCAGGGTTGAGCCTTCGGAGCATCTACCTACTAGTACTACTAGTAGTATTCGATTAAGCATTATTCGGTTGCCCACTAAGTTATCGCCAATCACATTCCGCTCTTAGACTTTTAGACACTACATACGTCGACTATAGAGCCCCATGGCTGTCAAACCCATATTGATTAGAGAAGAAATTGGTAGACATGTTTAGAATGCGTGGATGATTGTGATTGTCTCATTTTTCTGATGGCCCCTAAAGTAGCAAAATTGTTTGACACATAGCAAAGGCTTAAATAGAAAGCCATTCCCCGAAAGACAGACCGAAAGAGCCTACATCATCAGGCCCGTTCCTCTCTAAACCCCTTCCACAGTCCAGCAGCCTTGTTCATAAGAATGAAGAATACTTGTCTCCTTGGCACAGTTGCCGTGTGCCTCGTTCCTGGTATGTACGCGCTGGAAACTATGAATATCTCCATTAGTCGCTATATTTCTTCCCATCAGTCGAGGGACTAATGCCATCTTCGATACAGGCATAGCGGCGAGTCCTTCTATCTCAAGCCAACATCAGGTTGCGAATGTCAAGCCTCGCGCACTACCTAATGCTCTGGACGGATATGCCCCGGTCCACGTTACATGCCCGAAGACACGGCCCAGTCTCCGAAACGGCACAGCGCTCTCACCCGAAGAGACGTCTTGGCTTGAAGCTCGACGTGGCAAAACTCTACCTGCTCTAAAAGACTTTTTCGGGCATGTCCAGATTGATGGATTTGATGCTGTGAGCTATCTCGAGAGTCACTCTCGTGACTTAACCAACATACCCACGATTGGCCTTGCCATATCAGGGGGTGGGCTGACAGCAGCTTTAAATGGTGCTGGTACTTTCAAAGCCTTCGACAGCCGCACTGAAGGTACAATGGCCAAGGGCCAACTAGGTGGTTTACTGCAGTCGACCACCTATTTTTCTGCCCTCAGCGGCGGCTCTTGGATGCTTGGCTCAGCCTATGTCAACAATTTCACGACGGTTTCTGCATTGCAGGAGCAGGGAAACCTCTGGAACTTTTCTAGCGGGAATATCTTCGCGGGACCACCAAACATGGATCCACAGGAGTTCTGGGGTAATATTACAGCTCAGGTCAAGACAAAACGGGCAGCTGGCTTTGTGACTAGTGACCCGGATGTTTGGTAAGCACTAAAACTCTTCTTATATGAAATAAGACTAACCAATCGTTCAGGGGTCGGGTGCAAGGCTATTTCTTTTTCAATGCCAGCCATGGAGGTGTTGACTACACCTGGTCCTCCATTGCAAAGACCCAAGCGTTCCAAGATGCCGAAATGCCACTGCCAGTAGTGGTGGTCAAGGGGCAGTCTTCTGACAAAGCCCTTGAGGCACCGACCAATTCAGAGCCGATTTATGAGGTGTCGCCTTGGGAGTTCGGCACATACGATAACTCTATCCATGGCTTCGTACCATTAGAATACCTAGGTACTCGATTCATCAACGGTATAGTACCAGAGAACGAGACCTGCGTACGTGGCTTCGATAATGCCGGCTTTATCACGGGCTCATCGAGCGACATCTGGAACCAGGGAAAATCCGCCGATATAGCTGGAACCCTAGAATCGATGCTCCCTGGAATCTCCACGCAGGATCCCGAGGAGGCACAATTTCTCAAACTTGTTATCGCAGAAGTTATTAGCGCCACCAACTCAACCAACTCGACATTGACTGGATCCGCGGCCTATGAGCCTAACCCCTTCTACCAGTACAATACGAACTCGTCACCCTTTGCGCACGACAAGCGACTGACTATTGTGGATGGTGGCGAAGGCGGCCAAAATATTCCATTCAACCCGCTGATACAGCGAAAACGCAACGTGGATGTGATATTCGGCGTTGATTCTCTTGGTTCCGATGGGTCTTGGCCGACGGGCTCAGCCATCATCAGCACGTATGAGCGCACCCTCGACGACCTAGCCAACACCTCCTTCCCATATATCCCAGACCAAAATACCATCCTAAACCTGGGTCTGAATGCTCACCCCACATTCTTCGGCTGCAATAGCTCAAACCTGACCACACTCGCTCCGCTAGTCGTCTATTTGCCCAACCACCCTGTCACGTATAATGCCACAACTACCCTTACGGACACCGACTTCAGCTCCGCCCGCCGTGACGGATTCATCATGAATGGCTATAATGTCGCCACCCAGGCGAATGGTACCCTTGATTCCGAATGGACAACCTGCGTCGGTTGTGCAATTCTCAGCCGTTCCTTTGATAGGACCGGCACTACAGTTCCTGAGGCTTGCAATCGGTGTTTCCAGCGTTACTGCTGGAATGGAACGATTGATGATCAGACTCCAGCGCCGTATAACCCCTCAGTGCTGTTGCCGAATACCACTTCGACGGCTGGCACAAGCCCGACTGCTTCTAGCATGGGCTCCTCGCTTGATTCCGCGGTCTGGTCAGCCATTGCTATGGTTGGAATGGCCCTTTTCGTGATCGGCTAGTTTGATTTGGATAGAGATGCCGTAAATTATATTGATATTGGGTTTCAATAATAGACTTATCCATGCCTAATTTATTGTCCTTTGTCTTTTTTCCGTCGCGCTCTTTATTTCAGGTTATATTCATATATTTATTATCTGGCTCCCCACAAGAGCCTCACCCGACTGGTGTCTCTTGAGTACGAATAGAACAAATGATCAGTTAAAAACCTTGTCTCTGACTCTCTGTGGACTCTGAAAAATTTGGACACGCGCCATCAGAGATCGATTTCGAAAGTCTGTCCCGATATCAATACAGGACGGAGGAGCGGTAGTTACATCGAATTTTTGACCTGGGTATTGCTTCTTGTAGCCTCTTGGTGACTGAAAACATAATTGACAATCGAGGCTCAGCAGGCTCAGGATTCGTTACATTCAATTGCCAAGATCTCATTATCCGCCCTGATCTGTGCCTGTCAAATGACGTCAGTGGCGCATTGACCTTGGCGCTCGTGGGTAGTGGAGTGAAGGCTGACTCAGTCGCACTATGAGATAGTTATACGGACCACTCGGAGAGTTCTGGCCAGACATGATATCGGCCTATATGGGTTTCGAATTACGGTTACGACTACGGTCTGTCAGGGTATACCTACTGTGTACTAGTACACCCGTGACATCGTAGAATGCAACCATGAGGACAGGGGTACGTGATTGTATGATTGGTCGACAGCTGTACATCCGCGGGAGGGCCAATCAGGGAACGAGAGGGCAATTCCGAGAGTTCCGCGTTCGGATGAATAATCGCTTACAACAAAGCCAGCAGCAGTTCCATTCAGACGCAATTTGGAGCTTCCTGTCATTCTCGCCTTGCCGTCGGTCAGTTCCTGCAATGGTGTAGCCGGTCAGACTCATTGTATTCCCAAGTCACTCCCCACTCTCCCATATCCTTATGACCGTCGCCCCTCCATCGCCGGACTCCCCCGCAGAGGAGCTCCAGCAGCGCCCTCCGCGGTACTCCGGCGAGGATACAACCCCGACCAGCAAACGCGAGATCTGGGGCTGGTATGCGTATGGAATTGCAGCGGAGGTATTTGCTGTCTGTGGTGTAGGTAAGGCAAACTACTCCAGAGTATTTGTTCTTATCATTCTAGTCCGAGTGGTACTAATCAGATCGGCGCAATAGGTTCTTTTCTGCCTCTCACATTGGAACAACTGGCACGCGAACGAGGAACCTTTAAATCTAGCCACCTACCGTGCGTCGGTCCCGGTTCACCGTCTACATCTGCGAATGGCACGGCCCCTGCTATGCTCCGTCGCGATGGAGCCGAAAACGATCAATGTGTCGTAGGAGTATTGGGTTTGAACATCAACACCGCCAGTTTCGCTATGTATACCTTCTCGCTGGCAGTGCTCGTCCAGGCATTGACCCTTATATCCTTCAGCGCCTTAGCAGACTATGGTATGGCTTATCCCAGTGTTGACAATTATCGAGCCAAACTGCTGACAACATCGTTACCCTTCAGAGAATAACCGTAAAACCCTCCTTCTGGCATTCGGTTTCATTGGGTCCGCCACGAGTATGTTATTCGTCTTTATTGCGCCGCCGGTATTCGTCTTGGGGGCCCTCTTGGTTGTCATCGGAGTTACCTGTTTAGGTTCATCTTTTGTGGTGCTCAACTCTTTCTTACCTGTCCTGGTCGCAAACGATTCGTCCATCGAAAAGACTCCCAAGGCCGCTGAGGAGTTGCATCCCATGAGCCCCGATGGAGAATATATTCACCCGAGAGACTCTTTCTCGGCGAGCGATGCAGAATCGGGGCCTCGCCCAGCAGCAGAAGCGGGCTCTGGGGCATCATCAGGCCCCACTTCGCCGGAGCTACAGCTGTCCACGCGCATTTCATCTAAAGGTGTCGGGCTGGGGTACTGTGCTGCTGTTCTTGTGCAAATCCTGAGTATTTCGCTCCTGTTTGCACTTTCTAAGACGTCGATTTCGAAGGTTTCCGGGACGCTTCCACTGCGGTTCGTATTGCTGTTGGTCGGCATTTGGTGGTTCTCGTTTACGATGGTCACTCGAAAGTGGCTGCGCGCTCGGCCAGGACCCCCACTGAATACCTTGAATACCGGTGGGCAGGTGAAACGGTGGCGTGTGTGGTTGCGACTCGTCGGGTTTGCCTGGAAATCTTTGTGGAAGACAGTTAAGATTGCGGTGCAGCTGCGGGAGGTTTTGGTGTTCCTGGCCGCGTGGTTTCTCCTATCCGACGCTATGGCCACCGTATCTGGAACGGCAATCCTCTTCGCGCGCACGGAGCTCAAGATGAGCACTACACTTGTCGGCCTGTTGTCCATCACCGCAACCCTGTCCGGCATGGCTGGTGCCTTTTTCTGGCCTGTGGTCTCGCGACGGTTCGGGCTGAAGTCGAACCATACAATTATGCTATGCATTGCGCTATTTGAGATTATTCCTTTGTACGGCATGCTGGCATATATTCCTCTCTTCAAGAAGTGGGGTGTGATCGGTCTGCAGCAGCCGTGGGAGATCTTCCCGCTCGCCATTGTCCACGGTGTGGTATCGGGTGGCCTGGCTTCCTACTGCAGGTCCTTCTTCGGATTGCTCATTCCTCCTGGCAGTGAAGCCGCGTTCTACGCGCTGTACGCTGCAACGGACAAGGGCAGTTCGGTCATTGGACCGGCTATCGTAGGAATGCTCATTGATGCGACCGGACAGGTACGGTCGGGATTCTTCTTCATCGCACCCTTGATCTTGATGCCAATCCCGCTCATCTGGATGGTCAATGCTGAAAAGGGCCGAAGAGAGGGGGTGGCCATGGCCCAGCGTCTGGAGAAGGGCCACGAGACGGAGATGAGTGAGCAAACTGAGGAAGCCGAAGGACTCCTGGCACGAGGTATATAAATCACGACTGGGCTATATAACGGGTGCATGCGGACATGATGATAATGGGTATTTAGATCATGAATACATCTAGAGATTGAATACCTCTTTTAACGTCCTCTACCTATCCGTACAAATCGTCACTATGTATCGTACAAATAATGTAATCTACCCTTTTGCACCCCCACATCAGAGGTATTCACCGTGTGTCAGATACCATATCTACCTCGGACGGGGAGGGAAAAAAAAAAAAAAAGGCCAACACCAACGTCGAACCTCGACCAAGTCCATCCCAACCAACCATACAAACTCCACCAAACACAGTCGAAACCCACCGCTATCTATCTCCCAGTATTCGGAACATCAACCGGCCCATCCACAAACCTCCCCGCAGAACTCTCATTCTTCTCCAAATCCGCCTTCTCCTCAGCCCCAGCAAAAGTCGACTCCCTCATAAACGGACTCCGCCTCCTAATCTCGGGCCCCTTCAGCACCAAAACAACAGGAACAACACTCAACGCCACGCCAATAAACCCCAATAAACTACCAGCCCACCCATACCCCAAGTTCTCAAAGAGCTGATAACTCGCCAGCGGCAAAAACGCCCCGAACGAATTCCTGCCCAGACTGGCCGCGCTCAATGCCGAAGCGGCATACTTCTCGTACGCATCCGTCAGATAATTGACAACAGCCATGTAGATGGAATAAATGCCCAATCCGGTCGCCGCAATGCCACACGTCGGGACGATCCAATGCACGTCCGGGAAGCTGCTCCATCCGTACCAGAATAATCCCCCGGCAAATAGCAGACTCCCCGGGATGGAGGTGTAGAGTCTGGCTTCGGGGATGGGGACGCCGGGGTTCTCTTTGTTGCGGGATGCAGAGCGCAGGTAGATCATGTCCTGGAGGGGGTTGACTAGAGTGCCGATTAGGGCGCCGACGGAAATGGCGAGTTGGATGAGGCCCGTTTGGAGGGTGTTCATGCCGTAGTTTGTGGAGAAGGTCTGCACGACGCTGCTGAAGAAGAGGAAGAGGATGCCCCATGCGAAGCTGATCCAGAGGGTGAAGAAGGCGACTACGGGCTCGGTGAAGAGCATGCGGGTCGGCCGTTCGAACGACACCTGCAGGAGTTTCCAGATGCTTGTGTGGTCGAGTTCCACTTCAGCATAAATGGGGCGTCCTGTTTCGCGGCGCAGTTTCTTTGCGCGGCGGGCGAGGATCACGTCTGCTCGTGTTTCGTATAGGAGGAACCAGAAGACCGGGATTAGGCCTGCGTTGTAGATTATTTGAATGTAGAAGATCCTGATTTGGTGGTTAGCTTTGGATGGTGGTTTGTATACTTTGTGGATGGGTGCTCACCATCGCCATGGGTCATTTTTATGAATCGCTTGGATTACAGACCCCACGAATGGACCCAGTGCGATGCCGATGACGCTCGTCAGTCCGAATAGGGACATCGGTACGCTTCGGGCTTTGTCGCCGTACCAGACGTCGCTGATGCTCCCACCTACGATGTTGATGGCTACGGACGAGGCGCCTCCGCCGAAGAAGCGGGTCACGACTAGGGTCGCGAAGTTCTGAGCGAATGCGGATGGAAACAGCGAGATGACGAGGATGGTGTATGCTACGAAGTACCCTGGCATGCGGCCGGACGATTCCGTCAAGGGAACGAAGATCAGCGGCCAGAAGGCGGCGCCCATGTTCCACGAGGTTGTCGCCCAGGCGAGGTTCGGAAATGGCTCATTCTGCACATGGAAGCGCTCGGCCATGTAGTCGTTGCCTGCGCCATAGGATCCAGCGGGAATACCCGTGAGAATTGATCTGTGTAGTTTGCATTAGCATATGCGTGCGTTCGTATAGGGTTGGAGTGGGAATGGCTTGCGTAGTGCCCAACATACATGATGCAGACGGTGACGGTCAAGGTCCATTTGTAGGATGTGCTCCAATTGAAACTAGATCATTTTCTCAGCGAGCTTCTAGAGTTTCTCGGCCGGACATACGGGTTATCTGGATCATCTTTCCCGTTCCACGTGTGAAGCTCAATCTCTTGGTCGCGGATATCATTATGGCTTACGACGCCGACATGGCGATCTCGATTGAAGAACGACCGCACCCTACATCAAAGTCACGAGTCAATAAAACCAAGTCAAATCAAGTCAACGAGCGTATGATTCGTTTCAACTAACCGGCCCAGAAACGAATCATCAAAATTATTATCATGCGATGTACTCGCCCTACGCAATGAGGGGGCTTCGACGGGATCGGACGACATTAGCGCGTGAATTGGGTCTCAAGGTCCCCAATTGATCAACAAAGATGGAGATGAATATGGAACTAGTGTCGCTGCGTCGCTGCTATCTAGGTCTAGGACGACATGCCTTGTTAGCAAGTGGAACCTTAGGAACCCACCTCGTGTCGTCATTGAAGCAACATTATCCGGTTGGTTCTGAGATTCCTTGTAGGGTTTTCATTCCCATCACACGCCCTGCAATACGAGCTCTCATAATGTTCTACTAATGCTATCATAATCCCTTACGCTTATGCCCTTACTACGGAAAAAGCGCTCTCATAACTTTCTCGTAATGATATTCTAATGCGCCACAAAACACAATTAAACCGCGCGAGATTGCATTGCCCAATAGTAGTTCGTGGACTGATCGGAAGGGGCAGGAGATAAGTCGTGATATCATCAATCTAGAACACCTTCCTATGACATCACTGCCAACCCGCATCAGCTACTTATAGCCCTCATACTACCGCAGGCAATGGATGTTCAATTAATTCAATCCGCCGTACCTCAATTGTCTCTTGAAATTAAAAGAAAAACAAACCCGCTGTACATACAATCCGCCATGCCTATCCCCGTCCCCTCCGCCAACTCCCTGACCGACCTCCTCAGCCTGAAGGGCAAGGTCGTAGTCGTGACGGGCGCCTCCGGCCCCCGCGGCATGGGCATCGAAGCCGCCCGCGGCTGCGCTGAAATGGGCGCCAACATCGCCCTCACCTACGCCTCCCGTCCCCAAGGCGGCGAAAAGAACGCAGAGGACATCAAGAAAACCTACGGCGTAGAAGCCAAGGCCTACAAATGCGACATCGGCAACTTCGAGAGCGTCCAGAAGCTCGTTGACGACGTGATCAAGGACTTTGGACAGATTGACGCCTTCATCGCCAACGCCGGTCGGACCGCGGATGGTGGCGTCTTGGAGTCCACGGTCGAGGCCTGGATGGAGGTCGTGCAGACGGATTTGAACGGAACGTACCACTGCGCTAAGGCCGTGGGGCCGCACTTTAAGAAGCGGGGCAAGGGCAGTCTGGTCATCACGGCCAGTATGTCGGGTCACATTGCCAACTTCCCGCAGGAGCAGACCTCGTACAATGTTGCTAAGGCTGGGTGTATCCACATGGCGCGTTCGCTGGCGAATGAGTGGAGAGACTTTGCCCGTGTCAACAGTATCTCGCCTGGTTATATCGATACGGGACTGTCGGATTTCGTGGACCAGAAGATCCAGGATCTCTGGTTGAGTATGATTCCCATGGGCCGGAATGGAGATGCGAAGGAGTTGAAGGGTGCTTATGTGTACCTGTGCAGCGATGCCAGTTCGTACATGACTGGTAACGATCTCCGTATTGATGGTGGTTACTGCGTGCGGTAAATGGCCCGTTGGGGGGGGTTATCCACGGCTGGAGTCCGATTCCTGAGATGATTGATGCAAATAATTCTTATGTGATGAGATAATGCAATATAAATGAATGATTGTGCATGCTATGACCTTCGATCAATAGAAAGTCTAGTCCCCCTTAACACCCTGTAGAACTAAGATCTAGGATACGAAGTGCTTAAGCAGCGGGGCCAGCAATGGCGGCGGTGATCTCTCCCTTCTCGATGTAGACACCAGACCAGAACCAATCCTCCTTTCCTCCCTTCTGTCCGTTATCCAGACGCAGCTCACCAACGTGCCAATCCTTCGAATCGGTCTGCGTGGCCGCACTGACAGGCTCCACAACCTTCGTCAGGGCCTCCGCTCCGGTCGAAGTCCAAAGACCAACTGTCTTCGCCGAGAAGTCAATCTCGTAGGCGAAGTTGTACCATGTGCCAGCCACGAGGTCAGTGGACCACTGTGACTTGCCGTCAGCCAGCCAGCGGAGAGTCTTCTCGTCACCGCCGTACTTGAGCTCGGTGAAGTGGCTCTGGACCCCGTCGTTAGCGTATGCAATCCCATCGAGAAGACTTGACTAAAAGAAAAGGGAAAAGATAAAATACCTCGAAGAAAGCAATCTGATGCTCAAGAGCCGCAGTGGGGGCATTTTCCTCCTTGGTTTGCAGCGAGAAATGGTAGAACAGGGTTCCAGAGCCGAGATCGGCGTCGGTCTGAGGGATGAGCTCAGAGCGCATCATGGTTTGGCCATTCCAGGAGGAGGTATCATCCTTTAGAACTATATGTTAGAGACTCTTCTTGGACCAAATGTTTATGAGGGTAGCTGTACAATACTGATGCGGATGCCCTTCTCATCGCTCTCGTCGGCCGGGTTCTTGAAGTCGGCGCTAAGTTCAAGGTAGTTTGTGGTGGCCTCGGAACCGTGGATGTACCATTGGTACGGGCCGACTTGGTTAGACCAGGACCCTAAATACACATTAGCGTTTGCTGTGGAGATAGCGGAAGCATCAGTCTTACATTGGTCGAGCTGATCGACAGTGAAGGAGGAGTTGAAGAAGCCGTCCCAGACGACTTCTCCAGCGTGGACAAGGGGAATTAGGAACAGGAATGACTTCATGTTGTACAGAGTATGAAAGAGGTATCCAGCCACTGTGGTATCCAAGTCATTGGGCGCTTACTGGGGAATTTATAATGTTGAAATCATCCTTCCTGATAGAGTGTTTTAGGATGCGTTTCAGATTGATTCAGACTCGCGCTGCGAAAGCGACACGGAAGACCACGGATAAAACCATTAAGAATATCTTCAATTTAACCATAACGGCCCGGAGAGCCGATCATCCGTATTGGAACTAGCAAGTATCATGTTGATCATAGACTATCCGTCAATAGTAATTTCATTTCTCCACCACTTGCGAAGGATTTCCCTCATTTAGATCTTGCCCTTCACATCGCTATCCCCTGATTCATTCCCTCCCTCGGTTTCGACATCTTCGGCGAGATGCATTCTGGGCAGCGTCCGCGCCAGACGAGGCGGGTCGAAAATGGTCTTCGACTGCAGGAATATCTCGTCGATTTCTTCCAGGGTCCGTCCGTTGGTCTCTGGGAAGAAAAAGTATACCACCGGTACAATAGCCGCGTTCAACACGGCGAAGATGATATAGTACTTGTAGGAGATGGTATTGAAGCCGACTGGCGTTACTTCCGCCAGAAGGAAATTGAAAGTCCACACGGCGGCGGTCGAGACCGCGCTGATGGCGGCCCGCAGCTGCAACGGAGCCACCTCTGTGGCATACAGGAAGGTCAATCCGGAGTAACCCACGGTGAAGATAAACTCAAAGACGAAGAGGAACACCACAGCTGCCACCAGCGTGCCTGTGTTGTCTGTCACCGATGTGGTGCCGCCCAATATCGCCATAGATATCGACATACCCACCGCACTCCACAGCATCAGCGGTCGCCGGCCCAGCCGGTCGATGGTGAAGAAAGCCAAGAATCCGCCAAGAGGCTGTGTGAGAGTCATGGATGCCGCAAGGATCCGAGATTGCATCGGGTCGAGACCGAGGTACTGCTCGAAGATGGTGGTGGCGTAGAAGGTGATCAGATTGATTCCGCACATCTGCTGGAACATCTGTCCAGTGGCGGCAAGAACCGTCCGATGGAACAACCGCTGCTCGCCCATCGTCAACATGTCCTTCCAAGATCCGGAGCCGGAGAGGGCCAGGGATCGCTCAATATCGGCGAGAGCCATGTTGATATCCTCCGAGTGGGGATCCTGGTCGGCTAACGCAGCCAAAATTTCGCGTGCTTCCTGCTGTCGCCCTCTCTTGACAAGCCATCGGGGGGACTCGGGGAAAATTGTGATGAATAGCATGACGACTAACGATAGAATAACCTGGAAAGCTAGTGGGAATCGCCACGAGACCGAGTTGCCCTTCACGAAGTAAAAGCCGAAGTCTATCCATAAGGAGATCGCGATGCCTGCACCGATGAAAATACCGTCCGTGACAACGTGGGCGCCACGCTTCTTAGCCTGGGAAATCTCGGCCTGCCACACAGGTACAGTTGCAACATAACCGCCGGTGCCCACGCCCAGCACCAGGCGGGCGACAATGAATTGGGCCAGTTGGAATGAGGTTGCCATGAGAACTGCTCCGATGATGGAAATGGCCGAGGTAATGAAAATGACGCGCCGGCGCCCAAGCAGGTCACCCAGGTAGATGCATGACAGGGATCCGAAAATACCTCCCACGGTATACAATGCGACCACCGTTCCTATACACGACGAGAGTCAGGGGGTGACAATTGCGACAAGGGTGGCACAGGGAATCTACCTTGAATAGTGGAGTTATAATGCTGCTCAGCACCCTCAGTGGTCAGGGTGTTCATCTGGGGAAATTGTCTGGCGAACGATTCCAGGGTCAACAGCCCACCGGTGACACCCTGGTTGTAACCATAACAGACGAATGCTGGGCATACGACGAGCCAGATGATGGCTCGATTTAGAAGCGCACCGCGCAAACCAAAGTAAGGCTGCATGGCCAAGACATGCAACACGCACGGTGATATCGTAAAAGTGGTCTGATTATGAGACAGTGTTATGGAAAAGTCATGCAATTAATCCGGGGAAATACTGCATATAGAAATGGCTCAGCCAATTCAGCCCCGCTGCGATCGTTAGGTCCATTTGAACCCCCTGGATGCATCTTATAAAAAGGCATAGCCCTTTCGGTCATATCCCGGTCATCGGCGGTACCCGTGGCACCAAGACGTGGGCCCTTTCCCCAGACTTCGCTTTGCTTGAGGTACGCCACTAGGCGAGAGTCCAAGATGCTTGGCCGATGATCGGAAGTGGTGATCATGGCTGTCATCGAGGATGTCCTCCATGGCGATTCGTGCCATGTGGCTTTCGTCCAAGTCAAACTTTCACGAGGATTCGTATACATGCTGCTAAACGAAACTTCCCAGAGGCATGGTAACACCCTCCATATGCTATTGCTTGGAGCAACAGCATTGGCATTCGTTCCCCGCTTACCCTAAGTTGGTCAGTCTCCACCGAGCGCGGTTTTGCCTCCCATCGGACCCGGCCGACGGCAGTTCAACCTCGGGCCAGATAACATTGTATTGAGTAATGGAAAGAGTCAATTGCTCATAGATCGACGTTTAATACACAACTGTTCAGGGTCCAATTTGGATGCAGATGCATTACCCCAGAAAACCAAGAAATCTCGCTTCGTTCTAATGCTCCTTGGCTTGCCAAAGCGTCCCTTCTCATAACGGTAATATCCGAGTCGTGTGACCTAATCAAAATGGTCGCAGTTAATCCTTAACGACGCAGGGCAATTGACACATGAAGGAGGCATTGTCCGAAGGACAACTGGGCCACTGCAACCTCGTGTATAGGAGCTCTCCTTGAGCAGAACTTGTACTGCATCTGCATGCACGAATTGGCCCGGAGGCCGCCGATGCAAGATCATCTCTACTGCGTTCACTTTTGGGCGTGGAAAATCCAAATATTGATGTCTGGCATGGTGACTATCACGTTACTTCATCCCTGTAGAAAAAGCAACGGGATATTTCCATGCATCAAGGAGACGAGTCAATGCTCGTGGAGAAGGCGGATGTGGCGGAACTGGGGAAAGTGGATCGCTTATATACAGTTGCGCGGTCAAATACGCAATTACTTTTCCTATCTTTGGCAATAAGGTAGTGTTATCAGAATCCCATCGGCAATTGATAAAGTCTACTACGGTCTTAGTTGGACATGTTAGACGCTGTCAGACGCTGTTGGGCGTTGATTGATGGTTACATTGTGGCCAAGATCGTCAAGCTTTTGCTCCACTGAGGGTTCTGGACAGCCCATTAGTTGACTCCATTACATGATCTCGTTACCTCGCCTGTGTTATCGCACTGATACATCGGTATTGGTCATTCCCGCGCTTATCGTTATCATCTGCCGAGGCTGCTTGTGTCATTCTATGAGCATATATCTGCCCTACCCTACTCCCCCCGGGATGAAACGGAGATAGCATTATCTGCAAATTACCAATTCAATTTCATTATTGCCTTGAGCTGCTCTCCGTCATGGGTAAGGAATAATCCGAACTGAGCTTTTTCATATTCCTCGCTTTTCTCGGTTGATCGGAATGCAGCATAGTGTTTAGCATTCCTCTATGTCCATCCAATCGTAGCTGTAGACAGATCCTAGTCATTTCCAGGGGAGAGCGGCGCTAGTAGGTAGCTTCTTCCGAGTCCCGAAACCTTCGTATATTGGTCCTTAAACGCTATGGATCGTCATTGTTGATCTTCTCTTTAGTAGAGATGACCTGTATAGCTTCGTTCGAGATTTTACACCATGGTCGTCAGTGGTAGAATACAAATTTAAGGAAATCGTTATAGCAGGCATATTCATGGCGTGGCGAGAGCTGTATTGGAAAGAAACAACTTTGCTTCACTCTGATCCCCACACCTCACCAGAGTCATAGCACACGACATAAAAACAGGGAAAGAATTACATAGGAAATACGCAGGGAGTAGACTAGTTTATGAAGAAGTGGTATTATCATCACACTGAACGGGACAAGGCTTCCATAACACACAATAGTCTTCTGACAGCCCTAAGGCCTAAGTCTCAAACTTGAGTCCGACAAAGTTCCTCTAGCAAGAAGATAATAACCTTTCACGGTGATATCACAGATCGTTTATTAGATCTAAGCAGAGCCACTGCCGGTTGATAATCCACAGATATATATTTTCTTGCTGCAACCTACCGACTCAACATTTTGGATTGACTGCTCATGTAAGGCGTATAATTCAATCTGATCGAAAGATTAGAATTTGATATTATTTCGCTGTTACAATCCTCTCTCGTTGTCTCTCCCTTTGCCTGCTTTTGCACGTCCAAATCATCCAAAGGGGTCTCAACTTATTCATCCAGATAAAGAATTCTCTTCTTCTTGTCAAGAATTTAGAGTTGGATGAAGTTAGTCAGCTCGGCATTCAACGCTCTCTCCAACAGCCGCCCCTCGGCCAAAACTATTATTAAATCTGCATGTAAAATCCTTCGGGATGCTAGGCTTGAATGTCTTCAAGAATCGTGCCTGATGGAGGTGGGTTGTCTAGTTTAATGGCGACTAGAACACCTCGGGTCTTTCAATATCCTTAGTGGTACATCCATAAAGGTGCTCAACCTCTCGCTATGCCGAGAGGTCGGGTTCGTCTGTCAAGGGTCGTTCTTAAGATCTAAATTCGTGGCATCGGCTTCGGGATATAGGGAATTACTAACTGATGAAACAGTAATGCTGAGGATTTCATCTGTTTTTTGACGAACAAGCCATCGTTAACATCTTAGATCTAAAGTCATTGTCGAATGGGTCCATTACTGTCCCAGATACGACGGGCCAGAATAATAGTCCATTGGTCGATAATACATGACTGGCAGGCTTGAGAGACGGAGTGAAAGCAAAGACAATAATCGCCTCTTCACAATGCATAAAAAACCATCATATCCGACCATTAAACATTACCGTTCCCCCAACCCAGCATAGCAATACTATTGCACTCCGCACATTCCCATTTCCCTTCCCACTGAATCCCAAAGTTTCACCACATAGTAAGACCCATCAGGGCCATCACTCACAACAAGAATCCACCCCGATATCCGCCCAAGAAATCTTTTGACAGAAGAAAGAGTATTACTTGGAAATAGACCTCCTGACGGGCCCCGGCGCAGCAATCTCACTCGAGCACTCTATAGTCCCACTAATCCGCTCTTCAGAAAGCATCCACTCAAGGCCCCGATCCTCACTCGCCGCTTCAGTCTGCTGCTGTCGCGGGACAGGTTCGGGAACGGAGACTTCGCTGAGAGCTGTGAAGAAGTCTGCTAGTGCTGGGGAGAGTTGCGGAAGTGGCGGTTTGCTTGTAGATCTGCTGGGTAGGTGGAAATAATTGGCCAGGGGTTGGCGCAGGTGGAAACTTGGAAGGTTACACATTTGGTTTGGTTTTGATTTTCCTTTGCCATTGGCTTTGTTCTTTGAGAAAGAGAGTCATATGAGGAGGATGAAGTTGGCTCTTCGCTAAGGATATGGATGTTTCATGGTGGGAGCATTATGCTCGAGGTGGGATGAGGGGGAGTGGGTGGGCGATGTCTGGGTCCGTTGTGGTTGTGGGAAGTTAAATGTATAGGTAGAGCTGGTAACCTGGCGTTAGGCTTTGGGAGATAAGGTTGTGGCGTGTTGATGTATTGGTTATATCAACAAGCTTCATGCAAACTACGAGGTCGCAGTCATCTAATCATAGTACTCACCTTGCGCGCCATCGTAGTTTCCATGAAGCTTGTTGAGATAACCAATACAAGGTCGTGGCTTCCCCAAGAGTACTTGTTGCCTTCTTGAATCGTGACTTAGCGTGAGGCACTCAGGCTCCTGCCAGAGCCGCTGGAGTATAAAACCCCCCTCCCCCCTCCTCCCCGCCACCCTCTTCCAACACGTCCTTTCAGTATCTTTAATCGCCCTCTCAGAAGTCAATGCGCCGTGCATAGCTTGGACATATACACCTATTTTACTAGTCCTGTATAGAAACTGCCTATCCCTATGATTCCGCTCGATCCTCACGCAAACTACGGCACTAGTTTTAAGTCAAAAACCGAAAGGCTAAGGGCCATTGATTGCAAGCTTCCACGACATATATGCCTATGGGACAGTGTGTTGTCACAGGGAGTTGAGATATCAGTCTCCAAGGATACCTTAAACCAAGTTATATATAGTCATCAATCAGGCATTGTTGGCACATGAGAAACTAGCATTGCTTGGATCGTCGTGGATGGCTTTGCCTGATACGTACAACCCTAGCCCACACTGATATTCATTAGTTTATGTTTTCCAAACAGAATAAAAGAAAGGGAAATCGAGAAAGCTCACCAGACATCCACCAATGCCCACAATGATCAAATTGACTACGGTCAAGAATATCTTCCGTGGGGAAGATGTGTAACGGCCCCAGTTCAAGAAAAGCCAGAAAATGCCGCTCATTCCATCTATTTTGCATGCATTAGCTTGTCGTCCTTGAAGAGTCGGGAGAACTTACACGTAAACCAGCTGGCGAACAATGCTGTCTACGGGATAATCAGCATCATCGAATTTCATACAAGTAACATGGAATGCGAAGCTTACTATCAAACTCAACAGGTTATTGAACACTGGGATTGCCTCGGCAATAATCCATGCGAGTGTCCAGAGCACCAATCCGATCAGGATCCATGACCCTATAGACACCAGATTCCGCTTGTGCATGCGATCTGTGTTTCGGAAGAGACGAACATATATGTACTTGCAGGCCACATGGCCGTTGATCACACCGGCAATTATGATCTAGTTGTCTATCATCAATCGTTGCAGTATGCGATCATGGGGTGAGTTACTATACCGTTGGAATGGCGATTCCGTAGGCGATCTTCGAGACCAATGGACTCGTCGATCCCAACGCAGGGGATGACACGTCTTTACCACCATATCGATAGATGACTAAAGCAGTGACAGTAT